ATTATACAATAATACTGTTCCAGCTTACCTACAAATTTGACTTACAGACAGACCTTGGGAACAGAACTCATTCTTAAACTGGGGACTATCCGTACTGAATGTACTTATTATAAGCTAGGAATCACTTCCTTGTACATCCATTTATCATGCTTTCATTTATAACCCACATTTTAAACTGCTCCATCATCCAAATTGATGCCATGATCACAGAGAGCTATCAGGGTTTAAAACAGGCCTGAAATCTGTACATTTTAATAGCTTTAGTACAGTAGATAGAATTTTTTGTGGGAATTTTTTAATGAATGTGCATTAAATAAAATAGTATGCTTAGAAATCCACTGGCAAAAATGAAGCAAATCCAGAGGAGATACAGATCCTACCTGGCACATCCCAAAATAAGTTCTGAAGATTTGGCCTTGCTTCCAAGCAGATATGAAGGATGGAAGGGGACAAAGAACAAGGGGAAACTCTCCTGGTCAAACAGAAATTTTGTCAGAGTGTTCAACAACGGCCTAAAATTGAACTTCCTACAAATATATGATTCTTTGATATGCCACTCAATAATATTTTTCTGATCATATGTATTCAGGTTTAGAAACAGGAGACAAGACTCTTTAAAAGCACAGGGTTAAGCTGCACTTAATTTCTGGTGAATTTCCTGTATTATTTGTGAATTGACAACTTGTAGCAGGCACTATTTCCTCCATTATGAGAAAAGTCTCCTTTAAGTTGAGCTTGGCTCTTGGTAATTTCATGTCCAAACAGTATTCTTAGCAACAATACTGAAGGCCCAATTACCTTCATCCAGGATGCAGCTTTGACTTCTCAATGTAGCTCACACTCTCCTATCTAAATACGAGCCAGTCCCAACCCCATTTAGTTTTCCAGCCGAAAATCAACCAGGTGCTACCTACTATTTATGCCCACTATAATGCATGTTGCTAACTCATCCAATACTGCTCATGTGCAGGTAACAAATGCTGCAGTATTATTTTAGATGAGCCAACCTGATAGCTGTGGCACTTCCTCTAGGCCTCCTTTCTTCTTCAGAATTAACTCTAGGGAATAACATCATGTTGGACTTTCCAGATAGATTATGTGAAACCATAGCTCAATGTCATTCTCAATAGCCAAGCTTATAATTAAAGGTCAAATAGTCACTTCATCTGCAATCAATCAATAGAAGAAGTTCTAATATCAAGAACTAATCAATCAATGGCAAATACACTAATAAAAGCCATGAATCAAATGTCTGTATTTCATGTATTGCATGTACAGTGCATGTATGTTACAAAAGGTGGAAGGGAAAGCAAAATGAGAATAAATAAGCCTGGGGGAATCTCAGGAGAGGTACAACATTTATCTTCACTTATTAGGGTTTATATCTCTAATTATCTAATAAAATTAAATAACAAATAAAAGTGATGTTACAGGCAGCAGTTATGCAACCTCATTAAAATCCATATACTATTTCTATTAATGGCATCAATCAAAATGGGTGTTAATAGATTAAATATACCAGTTTCCTGAACTTGACACTCTCCAGACAGTTTCAGAATGTAATTCCAGAATTGTCTGAGAATTCTGGGAACTGAAGTCCCAATACTTTATACCCCAGTGTGGTGGGTAGCATGTTGAAGAAGGCTGAAGTATGGTAAGAACTCCTGTAAAGGTTAAGTATGAAAGAAGAGAAGGATATAGGCAGTCCTTGATTCTAACACATTCATTCCTTTGTGTCCTGAGAACATATTGCTATAACAAGTGCAAATAAAGTGCTGCCAAAAAAAAAAAAAAACCCACCAGCATATGGGAGGGAACTGTGTTTGTCTTCATACGAAGCAAGAGCTTTTCCATGGATCCAAGCAGAGGAAGTGGCAGATGGCCTCCTGAGCATTCTGCATATGGGAATTCATTGGTTTTAATACAGGGAGAGAGAACCGCCTTACAAGAGCCTTCTCATGCTTCTCTTATTACCACTTCTAAAGCTTCAAAGCTGTCATCTTTCCTCCTCCTTTGCTGGTGCTATGCTACAATCCCCAGGGAACTGAAGCATGGCACCCTGTGGAGGCTTCACATGCCAGAATGTTAAAAATCAGTTTAAACTCCAAGCGAAAGAGCTTTTGTTTCAGGAAGCCCCTAAATGCTCTTGTTCGCTTAGTGGTGGTACAGTTTTGAAGGCAGATAAAAACCTCTTCACAGAGGACTTAAAAGAAAGCCCTGAAGTTCACAGAGGACCTTAAATATTCAGAATCAAGTGTTAAATGGGATCTTGCCTGCATCTCCCCAAACCTGCTCAGGTAAATTATAATGGAATAACCCAATATAAAATTTGTCATTCTTTAGGAAATCAGCATCAAAAGTCATAATTTCAGTGAGAGGAAGGATTAATTTTCTGAGCAGATTACAGGAGAAGTATTACTATTATTCAAGAACAATCCTGTAACCTTGTGCTTTATTCAGGGTTGGATATTTTGGGAAGAGAGGAGAGACTGGATCGAGCAAGAAAATAAGGCAGCGTGTATGGAATTCTCCCTGAACTTTTCTGGCATTTTACCACGATATGAAATCTTAGAAAATACACCACATCATTACAGACATCCACATTTGAAAAGCAAACAACTACTTATGTTTTCATAATCCACCCTAAAGTCTGCAGACTATGACCTCTAGGAAACTCTGATCAAAAGTAACTCTTCTACTTAGAGACAACTTTAGTTCAGAGTATTGTACTTCAATGACTTTTAACAGAACAGTCTTCAGTCTTTTCAGATTACAGATTAAAATCCAACCTGCAAGTATGGGAACTGATTTTGTTTTACCTTGTGCACAATTTTAATGAATTTCTCCTAATCTTTCTATATAAAAAATAAAATATTAAACTAATAAACAAGAAAAAGAATAAAAGTGCCTTAAGCCAGCAACCATTCCTCTTTTCTGTTACTGAACCTAAAGGCATGCAGATAGATAAGCTACACATACACACACACAATTATATCATGACATCTCTGTTTCCACATGCAAATACATATGAACAAATATATGTGAACTTTAAATTAAAATGCTCATTTTGTTCCTTGCTAATTACCATAAATCACAAGGCTTAAACGGAACATACAGTACTGCCACCGTACAAAATTGTAACTGTATTTTAACTAAACTTCATATCTACAAAAGTGAGTGTAATGAGAGAATTTTGAATCAGTAGAAGGTCAATGTTCTTGGAATAATAATTTGTAATTGAATAAATGCACCGCCCTGAAATTCCTTAGGATAAATACCCTATTTTTTAAAAAAATAAAACACAGTTGTTCTGTCAAACATTTCTCTTTATATAATAAATGCTTTGTGCATTACAGTTTTGAGCTATAATAATTTTGCTATTTGTGTTGTAATAACTCAAAAAATCTGAAACAAATCACAAACTTTATCAATATTAGATTACAGAAACAGAACATGAAAAACAAGGAAAAATCAAATAACTTTCTCAAAAGAAGAGATTAATAGCAGTGTAAAACAACTGCTGTATTAAACTCCCA